AGAGAGAGAGAGAGAGAGAGAGAGAGAGAGAGAGAGAGAGAGAGAGAGAGAGAGAGAGAGAGAGAGAGAGAGAGAGAGAGAGGTACATATGTGTTCATCCTTTTTTTTCTTGCATTTATGCTTGTTGTTTGCTTGGGCATGGGGGCGCTTCATGGCACACCACTTGCCATATGGCATCGGGCAGGTGAGGAACGAGTGGGGACACTTGGGAAGGGCGAGAGAGAGAGAGAGAGAGAGAGAGAGAGAGAGAGAGAGAGAGAGAGAGAGAGAGAGAGAGAGAGGTGCATGTGTGTTCATCATATTCTTTCTTGCATTTATGCTTGTTGTTTGCTTGGGCATGGGGGCCCTTCATGTCTGTTACATGCCCAGTTGGGCGATGTACATAATAACCCGAGGATCCGCAATGTGATAAAAAGAACTGAATGGACAATGTAGTGCAAGTGAAAGCTCAACAGCAGTGTACATTCTGATACATACAAAAATGGTGCTTTATAGCGCAGTGGAAGACTTAGGTACAAGTCCTGACCTGACCGGGACTGACCTCTATCACGTAGTGTAAGACAGCGCAGCAGAATGCTAGAATACCAATGACTAGCCCAATCAATGTTGCAACGCGGACAAAACATACATCATCATGATCACAGGGTGTGAAGGGACCTGGCGCTATACACAGGAAGAAGGCGCCAGGCCCAGATCATGCATAGACGAAGAGAAGGGGAACAGACAAAGAAGAGGGGGAGAGATGGGAGTGTCGTCAACACCGAGTCTTTGCTACAAGTCCCAAATAAAGCCCAAATGTCGAGTCTGGATCCAAATGTCACCAAGCTCTCTCTTTCTCTCATAGTCTGCTGATGCAGTGAAGTCAGGTAGCGAGAGGGTGAGAGGGAGGTGGTGGACTGAGAAGAGGAACAAGAAGAACTCTCTCTCTCTCATATGCCAGGTACTAACCTGTGAAGATGGCACTGTGCTGCAGGTACCTCGAAGGCGAAGCTGGAGCTATGGCGCTGCAGGTAATTATCCCTGGCCTCCACCCAATCTCTCCCTCTCTAGTACTACTCTAGCTCCTATGGCGCCCAGCGCTGAAGACTACTGCTGACGCTACTAGCGCCCAACGCTGAAGACTACTGCTAGCGCTACAACTAATCCTGCAACGCTCCTCCAGAGTGTTGTTGCCGAATCCTGAAGACTACCTCCTGCCTCCTGAACTGCACGTGAAGTGCCTGGGAAGTACCTAAGAACTATCTGCCAGCCTGCAGGGCGGGCCAGTCCTATATAGTGCTGGCCCGTCCAGGAGGCTGCTCTTGCTAATGCCGAAACGTGCCAGACCCTGGCGTTGAAGCTCAACCAGGGGTTGTCTTGAAAACAGGCCCAAAACAGCCTGTGCTAAACCCTGGTTTGTTGTCGGAGTTTCAGGGCGGGTCGAATTGATGAGGGCCTGAAAATGGCCCTCAGTTTCAGGCTGAAAACACTCAGGGCCAGAAAAGCCCTGATTTAGCCTGAAATGACACAGGGCATGTAGGCCCTTGTTTTCAGGCTTTCAGGCTGAAACGACACAGGGCCTATAGGCCCTTGTTTTCAGGCTTTTGGCCTGAAAACGTCACGAGCCTGAAAGGGGCTCGTGCAGCCTGTTGCAGGCGCAGCATGTAACAGCCCCCCCTCCTTATGAAGTCAAACCGGGGCGAGGGTGAAGCTGATGATCTGAAGGTGGAACGTGGATGTGGGTGCGACATGGAGCCGAGGATACCGGATTGGCTTGCATCTCACGTTCGTAGCGTGCAAGAACATTTGGAGTTGTTGCTTGGAGTTCCGAACGGGTCAACCATTGCTTGGAGTTCCGAACGGGTCAACCAACGGTCAGCTCTGTGACTGCGGTACGCAAAGTGTACCAAGTACTCGGTTGGCCTATTGTCGTAGCGCCACTGGGAGATGATGTTGCCGACCTCTTGAAAACGGACCATAGAGGGTGGGTCTTGCGATCATCGCCCAGTCATGTTCCGCTGGCGTGTAAAGAGCCAACTTGGAGCAATCAAAGACCGGGTAGACGGGCAAGTGGGTGGGCACCTGAATGGTGAAGGAAGGTCCCTCGGGTGCATCCCCAACAGGTGCCACGATCGTCCAAGGCCCATGCGTTGCTGCGTCTTGGCCATCTGGTCGCGTGCCTTGACAAGTAGCTCTTGCATCCGACGCAAGAAAAGAAGATGGTCATCGCTCGCGACCATCCGTGGAATGATTGTGTCCAACGGAGAACTGACCGGCTAGCCGTGTTAACTTGAAGGGCGACAACCCGATAGTCGGGTGGATGGATGAGTTGTATGCCAACTCGACATCCGACAACTGCTCAACCCAATCCTTTTGGTCAGGACAGATTAGAGTGCGAAGGAGAACCTGTGCGGTCTGATGCGCCCTTTCCGTTTGGCCATTGGTTTGGGGGGGGCGAGCCGAAGTTGGCTTGAGAGATGAGCCCCATCGTTTGATGAGCGCCAACGAAAAGTCGGACATGAACCGAGTCTCTCGGTCGCAGACAATTTCCTTGGAGTAACCCTTGGTTCGAATCCAACTGACGTAAAGAACCTCGATCAACTCTGGTGCCTTGGCATGATAGCGGCAAGGCAAAAACATGGCAAACTCTTGGTGAGTCGGTCGACCACTGTGAGAATCCCATCCACACCGGTCTTGTGCTTGGGGAACGGCCCGGTAATGTCCATGGCAATCGCTTCCCTTCGGAACAAGGGGACCGGTAATGGACTCAACTCGCCGTACGGACGATGGTTGGGGGATTTGCAGTGTCGGCAAACCTCACATGACTCGCAATAGCTTGTGACGTCATCGAGAAGGTCGGGCCACCAAAATCGCTCGCGAACTCGGCCAATCGTGCGATTGACTCCAAAGTGTCCGGTGGTGGGAGCACCGTGGAACTCGCCAAGAAGCCGTGTACGCAAGTGAGAGTCACTCGGTATGCAAAGAAGGTCCTTCCCCCTCGTGTGGACAAGCAAGTACCCCTCTTGGATCCGGTAGTGAGACGGCGCCGTATTAGGAGAGGAGCAATTCCCGTACTTGTCGTGAAACTCAGGGTCAGCTTGGTAGCCGCGGATGAAGCTGTCCCGCAGGTCGTCGCCGATCTTGAAGGTCGAGTAGACTGTGGTACAATGATCCGGACGCCGTGAAAGAGCATCTGCAAAACGGTTCGACTTCCCGGGAATGTGATCGGGAAAGAAATCGAATTGGTCGATGAAAGCCATCCAACGGGCGATGTTGCTATTGACGATGTTTTGGGTCTTGTAGAAGACCAACGGATTGTTGTCCGTTACCCATCGGAATTGACTTCGACCAAGGAGGAAGTGTCGCCACCGTTTGAGTGTGTGGACGAAGGCTAGGAGCTCCTTCTTGCGTGCATCGTCAATGGAGTGCACGACAAACACTTTTTTGTCGAAGTACTCGACCGGGTGCCGGTCCACGCCATCGTGTTGCTCGAGGACGGCACCAATGCCATAGCCGGACGCATCTGATGCGCGTTGGCAATAGCGGGTCGTATATGCGCAAGACCTTCGCAGTTAGTAGCGCGGCTTTGAGAGCCAAAAATGATTCCCGCGCATCCTCCCCGAAGTCAAACGGAAAATCCTCGCATTGAAGCTTAAGTGGGCCACAATCTTTGAGTATCCCTTGATAAATCGTTGGTAGTAGGCGGTAAGGCCAAGGAACGAACGGACATCTGTGACATTTAGCGGCTCCGGCCACTCTTGGATGGGTTGAATCTTGTCCAATAGCGGACTGATGCCCTTCGGTGTGACAAAATGGCCCAAGTATTCTAGCTCTTGCCGGACAAATTCGCACTTGTCGGGGTTGACCTTGTACTTGGCGTGGCAAAGCGTCTCCAACACTCGTCGAAGGTGCTCAAGATGATCCTCCAATGACCGACTATAAACGAGAATGTCGTCTAAGTAGACCAGCACAAATCGGTCCAACATTGCATGGAACTCGTTGGTCATTGCCGCTTGAAATGTCGCCGGGGCGTTGGTGAGGCCAAAAGGCATGACCACCCACTCAAAATGCCCATACCGCGTCTTGAACGCGGATTTGTAGCAATCGTTCGGCCGGATCGAGATTTAATGATATCCCAACTTCATATCGAACTTCGCAAAATACTTTGCGCCGCCCAATCGCTCAAGAAGATCGTCGATACGAGGAAGAGGCCCCGCATTCTTGATGGTTTGCGCGTTGAGCTTGAGGTAGTCGATACACAATCGTAGATCCTTGTTCTTCTTCCGTACGAGGAGAACTGACGCTTCGTATGGAGAGCTACTAGGGCGGATCCAGCCCTTGTCCAACAACTCATCGAGCTGTGCACGAAGGACTTAAGCTCCTCCTTGCTCATGCGATAAATGCAACGTTTCGGCGACACGGCACCAGCCTCAAGAATGATCTCGTGAGAGATCGGCCAATCCGGCACCACACCGGTAGGTGACTCGAAGATGTCGACGAACTCGTCAAGCAACCGCACCACACGGGGGTCCGAAGATAAGTCAGTGGGTGAAGAGTCGGCTACCGCGACGGTCCGTAGGAAGCATAGACCGATTTCGTCGAGCTGGTCGTAACCGCAAGTAGCACGGAACGACTTGACCGTTACCACTTGGCACCGAGTTGAAGGGTGCGGAAGAGGAATAATACACGGTACTTCAGCGCCGAAAGCGTCACGAACAGTAAGAGTCCGCCGGTGGAAGTTGACCATGTGATCCACACTTGCAAGCCAAGGCATTCCCAAAATAATATTGAAGTCCCTGTCCAAAATGTCGAACGTCACCGGTTCCCATGCATGAGGTGCGAAATACACAGGTACGGCCTCGATGTAGTGGTCGATAAGTTGTTGCGTCCTTCCATCCACCAACTTGATCGCCGTCGGGTTTGCCTTCCTCCGAACTTGTGTGCCAAGGCCAGCCCTTTGCATAAAGGCCTGGTTCATAAAATTGCGAAACGTGCCTCTATCCAACAAATCGTTGCAGGACGCTTGCCCAACTTGGATGCGGACATAGAGGAGCGGTGCGTTGTTGTCATCGTACCGCTGATTGCGAAACTCACGGGCCACCTTGGTAACATATGCAAGGATGTCCCCCACCGCGACCTCGTCATCCGTGGGCGAAGTTGGTGGTGCATAGAAGGATAAGTACGTGTGAAGATGAGCGCATAATGCTGCGCATTGCAGTCCCGGCAAGCGGCCCGTTGTCGGGAGAGGAAGCCATGCGAAATCCTCTGACGTGAGCGGGTCCAATACCTCTATGTTGAACTCGCACGCCGAATCCCGTGAAGAACCACTTGAAGACGATAAGTCGCCGCTGCCGGACAGAGAAGATGCCGCACACACGTCTTGTCCTTGAGCATGAGTACCCAGCGTAAAAACGAGCCGGGCAGCATAGTCCTCAAAAGAATAAAGAAGAGGAGGACTATCGACTTCCGCATGTGCCTCGGAATGAAGGGCGGTCACCTACGAAGTGACCGGTTCCGAAGGCGTCGAGAGTGTCGTCGAGTCACTCGCGGAGGTGCTCAGTTTCCCGATTTGCCCTTGCCTTTCAACGGGCAGCCCACTATCTCGTGGAGATCGCTGTTACACCACAGACAATAGTGGAATCTCGTGTGTGCCTTGTATGCTTGCTCGGAGAGACCGTAGAGGGACCATGGGGCTGGAGCTGCTGTGCCGGGCCCGGGGCTAGATGTGGTGTTTGTCTTCGCCTTGCTGCGTCCTCGGTGCCGGGGCGGCCACCTTCCCGGGCGACTGCGAGTCTGTCCCCTTCATTGGCAGACACGGCCTCGCTAGTTTGGTCGTTCGGCGTTGCCGCCGCGACCACGGCCACTTTCGACCGATGCTGATCTCTGCTTAGGCCTGGTGCAGATGAACGCTGGAGGTTCTTGGCCTCCTTGTTCGTGACAATGATCTGCGCGGCCTTGTCAAAGAGCTCCGCCGGTGTCGTCAGGGTGTCCTCGACGTGAGTCAAGGCATTGTCCAACGCCGGACACGACCTCGAGATGAAGTAGTGTTTGATGGGTTTGAAGCCCATTTGAATGTCTGGGACGGATGTCGAGCGTTGGTATTCGGCAATCCAGTGAACACTCGGCAGTGTGCCTTGTTCGAAGACATCAACCTCTCCATTGCCTTAATCTCCGGTGGCTCTACTTGGAACCGCTTATGCCACGCTGCCTCTAGATCATCCCAATTGATCTTGGTATGCAAGTCGACAACCACCACTCCGTACTTGGACAAGAGATTGTCCAGCCATGCTTGGCACGCTCCCCGTGAGCAGGAGTATAAGTACACGTGATGCTTGTGCTCACTGACGTAGTGTAGCTGCAACTTGAATTCGAACTTACGAAACCACGGAATCGGGTCCGTCTTCGTCGAATCACTGAAGATCTCCTGATCATCGAACTTTGGAGTTGTCTCGCGGGGTTCCAATCTCGAGTGGGTGGCGGCAGTACAGATCCGCTGCTTCAACTGTTGCGTGGCATTTTGCTGTAACTGCACGCCGTCCTTGAGGGATCCGACGTCAATCTCCAATGCCTCAAGGCAGTCAGAGGTGTTGGAAGAGCTGGCAACGGGGGCGGCGACGGTCTGTTCCAGTTGCTGGAGGCGGCTGGTGAGTTGGTCAAACACCTGATTGTGTGTCTGAGCCGCGTCGTCGAGGTTGTGAATGTCCTTCAGCTGTGCAATGCACGTGGCCAGAAGGTCCGTGAGATGGGAGAGGAGTAGAGCGATCTTGCTTCCACTCTCTTCCAACTTCCCATTCTCAGCCTCGGCCCGCCAGTCCGCTGCTATTGTGAGCAAAGCTCGCTCTGCACTGAATATCTTCTCGCGTCGTTGAAGTCGTTCTTCATCGGCAGCCTTTGCTGCCGCCTCGTCTTGCTGGCACTGTTGTTCAATTGCCAACAGACGTGCCTTCGCCGCGTCCTCTCCCTTCTTCTTTCTTGCGGCTGCTACGACATCCGACTATTGCTTGGCTTCGGTAATCAGAAGCAACTGGGCCTGATAGGCCTCGTCTGTTTCCCGATACATCTGGTCCATGACGACTGTTCACGAGCAGGTAAGCATAGACCAGGCCGGAGGCCTGCTGGCGTGGTACTCCCTGCTGACGTGGCACTGCTGTCGGTTGACATGGCCTACTGACGTTGCTTGCTGACGTTGCCTGCTGACGTGGTCTGCTGACATCGCCTGCTGACGTGGCAACGCACCAATGTCGCCACAGGGGGTACCCGGAAACAAATAGAAAAGATAAGACAAGAGGGGGCAACAACATAGGTGGGGAGGGGTGGGTGGGGATAAATCGCCCAGATAAGGAGCCACTAATCAAAAAAGAAAAGTTTGAACTTTGCAAAAAAAAATTTCGAGAAAATAAAAAAAACCCGAGTTTTGCAAGTTCAGTAGGTCTCCCAACTTCCCTTCAAGTGCGAAATTATCAATGAGAAAAAAAAAAAAAATTGAACTTTCAAACTGCCAATGATTATCAGGTAGTGAAAATCATAGAACTGCGAATAAGAAAAATTCCGAAAAGAAATAACATGTATTCAAAATACTCAGATGAGTGTATTCGCAGTTTGGAAAATGGTACTGCAACAGGGATTTCCTGTACCGCTTTGAGAAAAACGGATCTCGGAAAAATATTATGAACTTCCAAATAACGTGAAATTGCAAAAGGAAATCGAAATTTTAGAAAAAAAAAGATATTCCGGATTTTCTAACAACGAAATTTCAAATTTTTAGAAGAAAAACGAAAATGAAAATTTCAGATGTTGCGCTATTGCGATTTTCTACAACAGAAATAGCGAGAAAACAGAATCCAAGAAAAGAAAAAATTTCGATTTTCGGCAGTGAGGTCAAAATCGTGATTTTGGGGGCTAACTAGTGTGCTTTAATCAATCAATCAAGACTAATCAGCTACCTAGTCCCCACACACGTGTCAGATCAGATTGTCCCGATTCACGTGCGGTGCTCCGATACCAATTGTTACATGCCCAGTACATAATAACCCGAGGATCCGCAATGTGATAAAAAGGACTGAATGGACAATGCAGTGCAAGTGGAATCTCAACAAGCAGTGTACATTCTGATACATACGAAAATGGTGCTTTATAGCGCAATGGAAGACTTAGTTACAAGTCCTGACCTAACTGGGACTGACCTCTATCACGTAGTGCAAGACAGCGCAGCAGAATGCTAGAATACCAATGACTAGCCCAATCAATGTTGCAACACGGACCAAACATACATCATCTTTATCACAAGGTGTGAAGTGACCTAACGCTATACACAGGAAGAAGGCGCAAGGCCCAGATCATGCACATACGAAGAGGAGGGGAATAAACGAAGAAGTGGGGGAGAGATGGGAGTGTCGTCAACACCAAGTCTTTGTTACAAGTCCCAAATAATACCTCGTCAAAATGTCTGAAGCTGGAATGTCGAGTCGAGATCCAAATGTCACCAAGCTCTCTCTTTCTCTTTAGTCTGCTGATGCAGTGAAGTCAGGTAGCGAGAGGGTGAGAGGGAGATGGTGGACTAAGAAGAGGAACAAGAAGAACTCTCTCTCTCTCATATGCCAAGTACTAACCTGTGAAGATGGCGCTGTGCTGCAGGTACCTCGAAGGCGAAGCTGGAGCTATGGCGCTGCAGGTAAGTATCCATGGCCTCCACCCAATCTCTCTCTCTCTAGCACTACTCTAGCTCCTATGGCGCCCAACGCTGAAGACAATTGCTAACGCTACTCGCGCCCAGCACTGAAGACTACTGCTAGCGCTACAACTACTCTTGCAGCGCTCCTCCAGAGTGCTGCTGCCGAATCCTGAAGACTACCTACTGCCTCCTGAACTGCACATGAAGTGCCTGGGAAGTACCTAGGAACTACCTGTCGGCCTGTAGGGCGGGCCAGTCCTATATAGTGTTCGCTCGTCCAGGAGGCTGCTCTTGCCAATGCCGAAACATGCCAGACCCTGGCGTTGAAGCTCAATCAGGGGTTGTCTTGAAAACAGGCCCGAAATGGCATGTGCTAAAACCCTGGTTTGTTGCCCGAGTTTCAGGGCGGGTTGAACTGATGAGGGCCTGAAAATGGCCCTCAGTTTCAGGCTAAAAACACTCAGGGTCGGAAAGGCCGTGATTTAGCCTGAAACGACACAGGACCTATAGGCCCTTGTTTTCAGGCTTTCAGGCTGAAACGACACAGGGCCTGTAGGCCCTTGTTTTCAGGCTTTTGGCCTGAAAACGTCACGGGCCTGAAAGGGGCCCATGCAGCCTGTTGCAGGCGCAGCATGTAACAATGTCACACCACTTGCCACATGGCATCGGGTGGACGAGGAACGGGTGGGGACACTTGAGAGGGGCAAGGGAGAGAGAGAGAGAGAGAGAGAGAGAGAGAGAGAGAGAGAGAGAGAGAGAGAGAGAGAGAGAGAGAGAGAGAGAGAGAGAGAGA